TTAAAAGAAAAGAAATTTAAAATAGAAGTAGAGAAAAAGAATCAGCACAGTACATGCTGAAAACAAAACAAACGTAGTACCAAAATAAGAACATTTCCACAGAGGAAATAAAAACTTAGCAGTGATGTAAACAAACCTATTTTCCCAACCAGCCTTCTTGTTACAGGTAGTACTTGACTTAAAACCATAGTTGGAATTAAAGTTTCTGTTACTATGCAATGCAGTTAAGTGAATTTTGTCCAATTTTATGACTTTTTTTTGCCACAGTTAAGCAAATCATTGCAGTTAAGTGAATTATGAGGCCAGTAAGGGAATCCAACTTTTTCCATTGACTTTGCTTTTTGGAAGCCAGCTGGGAAGAATGCAAATGGTAGATCACATGGAACGTGGCAATTGTCCTGGTTGATAAGTACCTGAATTTTGACCATGGGACTATGGGAATGCTGTTGAAGGTTGTAAGTGTGAGGACTTTTTACAGTGCCATTGTAACTTTGAAAGGTTGCTAAATAAATAGTAAGTTGTGGACTATCTGTGGTTGGTATAATCCAGGGCAGTCAAACTCCCGGTCCATGGGCTGGATGCGTCACATACTGGCTATGCCGATGCCCGGTTTAGTGAAGGAGAAAAAGTCCTGATACGTCATGTGATGCTGCCGTGATGACGTGAGTTTGACACGCCTGGTATAATCAAATGACTTCAGCTGTTATCTAATGTCACAATGGCAATATTTTAATTTTATTTCCAATTATTAAATCCTCACAACACAGAGACAAGTCTGGTTCACAATTCAGAAAGGTTTATTTACAGAAAAATAAAAAGCGCTTGCAAAGGTGGCCTCCAAGTCTTTTCCCAAGTGGATTGAGTACAAGGATAACAAAGTATAGCATTCAAATAATACATTTTATAGACTCTACTCGTAAGAAACTCCTCCCCTTCCTGCTCATTCATTTACATCATTTCTTTCATCATTCCATATTCTAAAGGGTCAATTGACAATTTCTTGAGAGGCCCCTATCTCTTATTTGGTTTTTCTGGTGCCTTTCGTCAGAGCAGATGGCTTCCTATCTAACTTGTACATAAGCACCTGTAAACGGCTTGGAATAACAAAGGTTATCTTGTCCTGTTTATTGAACACATTTTGTGGTTAGCAAAAACACAATAATGTATTACACATTTTAGGCAAGAATATAATGGCTTATGCATTTCACATTGTAAAAGAATACAAAAGCAACCTTTTAACATTTTATAAAATAGTAACTTAATATCATTTCCTTTACTAGAAGCTGTGAATGATATACAAAATCACAAAGTTTACCCCCTACACGTGTTCTGAGGTGTTTTAACCTCACTGTGAACTAGGAAGAGAACTTGGTTAAGGAAACGAAAAAGAGGAATTGATGAAAGAATGGCCTGCAAGCAAAAATGCATCTGTGGTTTTTCGGCAACCTTTGTGAGAATGGAACTCACAAGACTACTTTCACTAGATTTGTTAGGAGTCGGATAGGAAGGGTGAGATTCATCTAAAAGCCACTCATAATTCCAAACAACGTGAAAAATGGAAGACTGCAAAATTGTTGATGTACATGGACACATTATAAAAACTGATGCTTGGATAGTAAGTTCATGAAGCATTGTATCATGCTGTTTCTGCAAACACCATGCAGAAAAATCATTCTGGCCATTATCTCTTCATATCTGATTTTTACCCAACAGGCATACTGCTGATAGCTGCTTTCCAGACAAAATACACATTCTTGGGTCTCCTGGTGGGAGAGCTTGTGTGTGTGTGTGTGTGTGTGTGTGTGTGTGTGTGTGTGTGTGTGTGTGTATGTGTAGCTTAATACATAAAGAAAATCAGTTTTGCAGCTCTTTAAATATTATACCTTTTCAGACATTATATTTTGTTGTCTTTGTGCTTGGGCATTTTGCAGTGGTTTGCCTGAATGGATAGGATTAGTGCTCACATATCCCGCTAAGACAAAAACTTATAAGATTGCAGTTTAATTTATGCCATCATCAATTTGCTACTTGTTTTGCTAAACAAATATTTTCCAATCCAACAGAAATTGGCAAGAAAGGAAGTAAAAGGACTTAGGACCCTTTTGCAGGGGTATCTGTGGAGTGTCAAAAAAAATATCAAGATATTCCTGCTATCTGTCCATCCGTTTGATAGAAAAAAGCAGAAGAGGACAAATGTGTCCCACTTGGGAGGGAGAGAAGAAGCGGGCTTAGAAAGGAGTGACCAGCAACAGTCCATGTTCCTGTCCAACAGTGCTCCCATTGGGTTAGACTGGGGGAATAAGTAGTCCTCATTTAGTGACCACAATTTAGACTGGCATGTGGTCATTAAGCAAGGTAGTCACTTCTGTGCTTATTATCTCCCTTTCCTTGCAAAATTCATACATCTGATCATCACTGTCATAACTGCAAGTGGTCATTATCTGAGGCAGTCACTAAACAGGGATGAATTTTTCTACTCAGCTCCTAGCTGTATCTGGCTCATTTTCATCTGATTTGATCCTATGATGTTCTTTACAAAGAATGTCCTGCTGATGGGACAGATAGACAGACACACAAAGACAAACTGAGCCCACACCTTTACGTAATTGATTTTGAACTATCCACTGATTTACCAAGAATGCATTATTTGAGCAAAACCTCATTCTGCAAATATTGTACAATTCAGATTGGAGGTTTTGGAGGTTTCTACATTGGAAGATACCAACATAGGTGTCTAGTTGTCATACTTCTGTTGATAAGACTTTGTCATATTGTCTGCCACACATTATTTACCAGTATAAAATAAGCTAAAAGTGGGAATCTGGCCTGAGTCACAAATCAATTTATCAATCCCTGGCGCTGTCTTTATTGACCAGAATCACCACGGACAGTGTTGAGATCTATCTTTTAAAAAAGCAAAAGAAAAAATAGAAGTGCAGTCTGGGAAACATAACTGAGGAATTCTGGGAGTTGAAGTCCGCCCGTCTTAAAGTTGCCAAAGTTGAGCAAAGCGTTGATACATGGCATAATTCGTCCCAAATTAATAGTGCAGGGTTTTTTCTTTCTTATTGTTGTACATTTCTGGCTTGCATTCCAGCATGGGGATCATAGGAGTTGTAATCCATCCCATCCGGAGGGCCCCGATCGTGGGGAAGGCAGGCTTAAGCAATAAAACGTCATCTGCAACAGCGCCCGGCAAAAATAAGACAAGTAAGTAAGTAAATAAATAAATAACAATAAATACCCAAGCGCGCATGCGCAGAAAGCCTTCTCTTGCCCTCTTGCAGGGCAGTAGAGTCAAGTTGTGCGCGCATGCTCAGTAAGAGTCATTTACCGGTGCCAGCCGCGGGAGAATTTGAATCTGGCTTCGGAAGCGCCAAATCGAATCGATGACTGTAAAGCCGAGAAGTGAGCCAGTCAGCCTCTGTCCATCGGAAAATATCGTATGTTTGAACGGACGCCGGAGGTGGCTGGGGTAAGGAGCGTCTCTCTCGAGATCCTGCAAATAAAAGGCGCTCAAGTTTCTAGGTTGCAAGAACCTGCAGCAACGCGAACCAGGAAAGCGGGTGAGTGTGCTTGAGTTTACTACTACGGCAGGCATGTGAAGGTCTCGGATTGTGGGTATTGATATAGGAGAGGGGGAGACGGAGAAGAGTTTCGTGGTGCCTGGGATGTGAATTTAACGTCTCCCCAGTGTGATTCAGTTCCCTGATCATCTTTTATTATTTCTTTCCCATACAGTTTGATTGGTGACACTGTCTCAAATCACATCAGGAAGAGGTTTCTGTCAGATAGTGATCCACTGGATCAGCTATACCTCTCCACGGAAGATGATTCTGTCTATATAGAACCCCAGATCCCATTATCCTCAAAACTTGCAAAATTTTGAAGTGCAATCCCAAGAAGTTGCTTCCTTCTTCACTTAGCATATGGTAAGTGCTAGACACACAGTAGTTGGTGGGTTGTTGTTGTTGTTTTGAAAACTAGTGGCTATTTTGGATGGAGCCAATGCTATGAGTTTTATTTTTATCTTTTGGTAGAGCCATTCTTAACTTTGGCTTCTTCCTGATATATGAATTTCATCTTCCAGTATTGATGATGGAAATGATGATGGTGACTCTGACTATGGTATCTGGTTGACTAATGCAAGAAAACAATCAAAGAGAATGAAGGACTCCATCACATTTATATGGCCGCCCATTTCAAAATGCGGCTCTGGGATGCATATAATAAAATGTTAAATAAAAAAAAAATCAGTATTATGATTAAAAGGGAAAGAGAGGGCAGCAGTAACAGATTTCTTGGCAACTCACCAATTCCAGGCTTAATGACATAAACCTTTTTTTTAGGTATTTGTGGAAAATTTCCAGGTATTGTTAGGAATTCTGGAAATTAAAATCCATTTGTCTGAAGGCTGACCAGCTGGTTGTTTACTAAATTTAATACTCAAAAGTTATTTAAATTCATTTTGAGGTGTATTTTCACAACCTTAGAACTGAAATCTTGATCTGGTAATAAACTTTGGGTTCCACCACGAAACCGCGGTAGACAAAAGCGCGCTCGACGAAAGCGCGTACGTGATGTCATCACAGCGCGACAAAAACATCGCACTGTGAGCGGTAAATTTAAAATTAAAGCGAAAACCTTACCCTAACCCCCCCAAACCTAACCCTAAACCTAACGCTAAACCTAACCCTAACGCTTAACCTAACCCTAAACCTAACCCTAACCCTTAACCTAACCCTAAACCTAACCCTTACCTTTATGTGAATCGGCTTGCTTTAATTTTATTTTAATTTCAATTTAATTTATTTTTAATTTTTTTGTCGCGCTGCTGATGACGTCAGGTGCGCGCTTTTGTCTACCGTGGTTTTGACGGGTCACGAAACTTTGTGTCCTATGAAATTAGAAATTTGGTTGAATTGCAATTCATTTAATTGTGCTATTGTTTGATACAATATTTCCCCCCCTAGACATCTGTGAACTGCAAATAGTATACCATGACAAAACGTGAGGCTTTCCTAAAGGCTGTGCATAACGATTCCATAGAAGAGTTTTTGCATTTCATCCAACTTCATGTAAGTAAATATGGCCAAACTTTTTGTGTCCAGAATTGGAGGGGAGAAGAAAGTCAACCTTGTTTACCCATATAAAAAATAACAGGTGGAGCTTTGATCACCATTGTGGCAACACCTTGACTTTTTTGCCCATATCCTACTGGCACCTCAGGTCTTTTAGCCTTTCCTGTCCCTATCCTTCATCATTTTTCCTTCTTCCTTCAGAATTTTCTCCTCCTACATGTTATATTAGAGCAGCGTTTCTCAACCTTGTCAACTTGAAGATGTCTGGACTTCAACTCCCAGAATTCTCCAGCCAGTGAATGCTGGGGAATTCTGGGAGTTGAAGTCCAGACATCTTCAAGTTGACAAAGTTGAGAAACGCTGCATTAGAGTTAAGGGCTAAAAAGTCTTTCCCAATGCTCCAGTTTTTTTTTTAAACTCATCTAGAGTTTTAAGATCAGAACACCCCCTTTTTGCAACCATCTTTTATTTTTGATCTTTGGCCAGCCACACTTTGTAATTGCTTTTGAATCTTATTTGTACTTAAGTTAGGCTTTTTTCCAGCTTACCCTTAAATCTGAAGACCAAAGAAACCATCCTATAAAAACATAAACGGTTTTGCAAATAGATAATTTATAGGTAATAAAATAGCCATTGGGGAAAATCATTTCTCCCCTCCCCGTGTGTTTTATTGAAGTTCATAATAACAAAATACAATGAAAATAAATATTAAGAAAAAATAGGATCATTACTTGATTTAAGTGTATATTTAGATTTAAGTTGCTGATAGGCTTACGTTCAATAGAAAAGATCAACAAATTAGTTGATGTTATTTTAGGAAAAGAAAGCTGCTACTGAAGAATGCTTTTTGGCATAAGTGATGATTTCCTGAAATGATTTTTTTTCTAGATATTATACTTTTGTTGTTCAAAAAGAAGCATTTCCATTCAATCTTCTTTTTGTTAGGATTTTATTTTATCATTAATCATATTCATCCAGATAGCATTGATAGACAAAGTAACTACTTCAGCAGATAGTTATATTTCTTTTGGTCTTTTCTAAGACACTAACTTGTCAATCAGAAGGTCTGCAGTTGAGAGGTTCGAATCCTTAGCGCCGTGTAATGCAGTAAGCTCCTGTTATTTCTGGAGCTTATGCAAGTAGAAAAATAGGAACCACCTTTGGTGGGAAGGTAACAGCGTTCCGTGCGCATTCAGAATTTAGTCATGCTGAAGTGTGCTGGCGCTTTGGTTTTGAAATGGAGACGACCCCCTAGAGTCAGGAACAACTATCGAGGGGAACCTTTACCTTTTAGTATTGCTTTGTTAAGACCCAGTTTTGTTGTCTTTCATCTTTCCATTTTATGCAGGTGGTCCTCAGAATAATAGAGTTGGAAGGGACCTTGGAGGCCTTTAATCTAACCTGCTCAAGCAGGAGACTCTATAGTATTTGTCTATACTATTTCAGACAAATAAATGGTTGTCCAATCTCTTAAACACCTTCAGGGTTGGAAGACCCACAACTTCTGAAAGCAAACAATTCCCTGATTAATTGTTCCAACCATCAGGAAATTTCTCCTTAGTTCTAGGTTGTTCTGCTCCTTGATTAGTTCCTATCCATTGCTTCTTTTTCCTGCCCTCACGTGCTTTGGATAATAAGTTGATCCGCTCTTCTTTGTGGCAGCCCCTTAGATATTGGAACACCACTATCAGGTTCTTTTAAATTAGACATACCCAGTTCTTGCAACCTGCATTTTTTAGCCTCCAGTTCCCTAATCATCTTTGTTGATCTTCTCGGCACTCTTTTAAAGCCTCAACATCTTTTTTTATATTGTGTGACCAAAACTAGATGCAATTTTCCAAGTGTGGTCTTACCAAAGCATTATAAAGTGATCTTAACGGTTCACGTGATCTTGATTTTTATCCCTCTGTTTATTCAGCCTAGGACTGCTTTGGCTTTTTTGGCAGCTGCGGTACAGTATTGGCTCATTTTTAAGTGATTGTCTCTCTTTCAGTTACTATTATTGAGCCAGATACCACCTGCTGTCAACTCTGAAGCGAACCTGGCTGAAGCCAACTTGTGCTGCCATGAAGCCTGAGAGAGGGAAGGGAGTGGGGAAGTGGGTAGCCCAGCTTACAGTCAAAATAAAAAGTTTTCCTGTGGGAACCAAGGTCATAATAACAGATGGCTGGTGAAGGACGAGAGGAGCCTGCTAGCTATATTCATTGGATCATGTGACTGATGACACTGGGGAGGGGTAAAGTTTTACTCTTTTAATTAGGTGAAAACCGTGGGGACTTTCAGAGTTTTTACCGGTTGTGCTGATATGATGTATCCAATTAGCATGTCCTTTGAGGAACCTAGCTGCTTTGGGGTTCTGATTTTAATGGGTGCATTGCTTGGAACTCTGACATTAAACCAAGTCTAAGTTTGAATCTATTGTTTTTGTTAGTTGCGAAGTTGTGTCTGACCCATTGCAACCCCTTGGACAATGTTCCTCCAGGCCTTCCTGTCCTCTACCATCCTCTGGAGTCCATTTAAGCTTATGCCGACTGCTTCGGTGACTCCATCCAGCCACCTCCTCTGCCGTCCCCTTCTTCTTTTGCCCTCTGTCTTTCCCAGCATGAGGCTCTTCTCCACAAAGTCCTTCCTTCTCATTAGGTGGCCACGGTATTTGAGTTTCATCTTCAGGATCTGGCCTTCTAAAGAGCAATCAAGGTTGATTTCCTCTAGGACTGACCTGCTTGATCGCCTTGCAGTCCAAGCGACTCGCAGGAGTTTTCTCCTGCACCAGAGTTCATAGACCTCAACTATTTGGCGCTCAGCCTTCCTTAAGATCCAACTTTCACAGCCATACATTGCAACTGGAAAAACCATAGCCTTGACTATATGCACTTTTGTTGGCTGGGTGAGGTCTCTGATTTTTAGTATGCTGTCTAGATTTGCCATAGCTTTCCTCCCCAGGAGCAAGCGTCTTTTAATTTCTTGGCTGCAGTCCCCATCTGCAGTGATCCCAGTGGAGCCCAGTAGCTGACACCTATTCTATACCTGTGAATTTGGTTTTTCTTTCCTAAATGTAGAACTTCACTTTTGTTGCCATTGAATTTCATTTTGTTAGATCGACTGAGTGTTCAAGTCCATCAAAATCTTTCTATATCTTGAGCTTATCTTCTGGAGTGTTGGCAATTCCCGCCAGCTTAGTGTTGTCTGTAAATTTGATGAGTTCACCTTCTATCCTCTGGTCTAAATTATTAATGAAAATATTGAAGAGTACTAGGCCTAAGACAGAAGCTTCAGATACTCCACTGCATATTTCTCTCCATGTAGATGCAGTTCCATTAAGGAGTGGATGTTGCTTGTGGTTGGTCAGAGACTTACGAATCCATCTGTTGGCGATGCTGTCTAGAAATCGCTCAAACTTGCAACCGCAGTGAAAAAAGAGACTTATAACTGGTCCTTGCATTTATAACCACTGCAGCATTCCCTTTGATCAAAATTTGGATGATTGGGAATGGACAGGTATTTATTACTGTTGCGGTATCCCTGGGGTCATGTGATCAGCATTTGTAACCTTCCCAGCCAGCTTCTAACAAGCAACGTGGGGGGATCTGGATTCACTTAATAACTGCAGTGATTCGCTTAACAACCATGGTGAGATTACAAAATTAGGTGCAATTCGCTTAGCAACCATCTGGCCTAACAATGGAAATTCTGATCCCGGTTGTGTCAAAGATTGTCTGCAAGAGAGATCATCCAAGGGGACGTGTGTAATTGTAGGGATGAACCATATTTTTCGGAGTATAAGACGCACCGGAGTATAAGACGCACCAAGGTAGAGGGATAGAGAGGGAGAGAAAGAGAGAGAAATATAGTAGGTAGGGAGAGCGAGAGAAAGAATAGGTAGGTATGTAGGTACGTAGGTAGCTAGAGGGGGGGGGAGAGAAATACAGTAGGTATTAGGGAGAGAGTGGGAGAGAGTAGATAGGTAGGTAGATGTTTCCAGGTGTATTTATCCATGTGCTGACAATTTGCAGCACCTAAGACTTTGTTTCTGCTGGCACAGTACTTGATCAATGTAAATCTCATCAATCAGTTAAAGAGCTTTCCAAAAGGGAAGAAAAAGGTTTTGCACTCTGCAAACCTCCCAAAAACGGCTCATTTTTTGTGAAAACGGGCCTGTTTTTTTTAAAGGCGTGAATAGCCTTGGGGGGGAGCTTGCACAGAGTGCTCCTGGAGGGGTGCAAAAACAAGCAAAAAATGGTCCGTTTCTGCCCTCCCAGCCCCTGAAAGGCTCCATAAGAATATGCACAGCCATTTTGGTGAAGGGGTGGGGCTTTGGGAGGCAAAAAATGCTGTATTCGATGTATAAGACGCACCCAGATTTTCAGCCTTTTTTGAGGAAAAAAGGTGCATCTCATACTCCGAAAAATATGGTAATTTTAAATCCTCAAAATTAAGGTTTTTTTTTAAAAAAAAGAGTTTCTATTATTTTTAAAAAATTTTTTTAAATTGTTGCTTTTTAAAGCCCAAACTTGATTTTACAATATAGTGTATGTGTTGTATGAAATAATCTATTCCTTGGCCTATATTTTTAGAATGATGCGTCAGATTCCTTTGATCTACATGAACTCGTTCAAGAGCTATCAAGAAAGCAAAAGGAAACGTTGTGGAATAGATTAAAGGACTTGTTAGCCAAGGTTTTGCTGGATAATCCCATAGAAGAATGGCAAAGCATGGTGGATGACAGCATGGAAACTGAAGAAAATGCAGCACTGGTAATTTGTCCTGAATATACTAGTTATTATACATTTGGGTGCATGTGTCCTTTTAAAAGTAGGATTATTTTGGTGTAGTGGTGAAGATACTAGCCTAGAAACCAGCAGACTGTGAATTCTAGTCCTGTCTTAGGTGTGAAACTCAGTTGGGTGACTTTAGATCTGTCTCTCTTTTGACCCAACCCTCCTCACAGGGGTATTGTTGTGGGGAAAAATAGGAGAAGGAAGGAGGATTATGTATTTTCACATTATAATTAATATGGGATTAAAAAAAAACTAAAAATTAAAAAAAAAAATACTGGACCATATTCTGGATTTTAGATATTGCCCAAGCAATCTGTGAGACTGCCTCCTGCTACATACTTCCCAACGGCCGATAAGAACTCACAGGCTGGGCCTCCTCCGGATGCCATCGACCAGACAATGCTGGCTGGCGGCCCCTCAGGGGAGAGCCTTTTCTGTAGCTGCTCCGGCCTTGTGGAACGATCTACCCGCAGAGATCCGGACCCTTCCCACTCTCGCGGCCTTCCAAAAAGCCACCAAAACCTGGCTGTTCCGGCAGGCCTGGGGCTGCTGACTCATGAATGAGGTCCATCCCCCAGCTTAGTCGAATGTATGGTGTGTTCCTTTTAAATTTGTTCTCGTCTTTCCCCTATTTTTTTGTTTCTGATTTATTTTTGTATTTGTAAG